AAGATATGTTGACATTATGGCTCTTATGTTGTTACTCACTTTCACTCAACAATGTGATTGCACTTCCAACAGTTGGGTTGACCACCACCGTTTCTTTAATTTCATAAATAATAAACAAACTACATATTATTACAATTTTGTAATTAAAATGATGATATCAATTTTTTGAATTAAGCAATTCAGGAGGTTAGCAGTAAAATATAACCACAAAATGAAGTTTTTCTTTAATTTTTTTTTTTATGATAGGTTTTTCAAGTGTCGAAGGATTTTTGATTCTCCGGGATAATATAGTTCTTAATTACTATAACTTGGTCCAAGCAAATCAGACTAAGCTATGGATAACAGACAAGGAATGATTTAAAGTGTCATGTTTCTCACACACACTCTAGGACAGCTACAGCTCTATTGGGGCCCAATCATCGGAAGATGCATGAGATAGGAATCAAATTGTGTTCATAAGAAAGAAAAACTAAGAGTATAAGGTGTGGACAACTAGTCATAACACCATTTTGGTGTCATCTCACATGCCACATCACCAATGGTGTTATAACACCAAGTGGGGAAATGGTCACCATGTTATATCTTGTTATAACACCAACTTTTTTCCATTTTATAATTTCTTTTTTATTTTTTTTCAAAATTCTTTTTTTTTAATTTAAAAAAGTTTATTTTAAATATAACATAATAAATAAAACATAATGTTTAAAAATTATAAATAACATAGAATAAAAAATTTTAAAAATTAAAAATAACATAGAAATTAAATTACACATAACATCCAAATTCAAAAAAAAATACAACGATATTCAATAAAAAACATTTTTTTTAAAACTAAACGCTATTCGTTACCATAGAAGATATAATTCACCAAGTCCTCTCGAAGTTGGCTGTGTTTATTTGCGTCCTGAATGTCAACAACTCGATGCAAATACTCTGTTGTTCCTGGTTGAAACTGAACGTGTCTGGGTTCCGTTGGGATATAGTGTGCAATATTTCTCCATTTATCTTCTACTACCATGTTATGCATTATGATACATGCATACATGATATATCGTAGAGTTTCTAAATCCAATGGTCGTGCTACATGTTCAACTATATGTCACTTCGCCTTCAGCACTCCAAAAACACGTTCCACATCCTTACGTGCTCCTTCTTGTCTTCTCTTAAAAAATTTGTCTCGTTCTTCAACCGGGTGGCGGAATGCCTTCACGAATGTGGAATACTGATGATATATTCCATCTGTAAGGTAATACCCATATTTGTATTCGTTTCCATTCACCGTGAAAGGAGATCCGGGGCTTTTCCATTCAAAAGATCGTCGAATATTGGCAACTGATCAAAAACGTTGACGTCGTTGTTAGAACCCGCAACCCCAAAAAATGCATGCCAAATCCATAAATCTTGAGAAGCAACAGCCTCTAAAACCAACGAAGGTGATCCTTGATGACCACTTACGTATTGCCCTTTCCATGCTATCGGACAATTTTTCCATTTCCAGTGTGTGCAATCAATGCTTCCAATCATTCCGGAAAACCCATGACGTTCTTCATGCGCCGCATGCAATTCTTGCAAATAATGCAACGAAGATTTTCGCAAATACACGTCTCCAAATGTTTCAACAACACCCCTTGACAATGTATCCAAACTCTCCCTTGCGGTTCTTTCGGACATTCTCATATAGTCGTCCATGGTGTCGGGTGACTCCCCCATAGCCATCAAACGAATAGCCGCAGCACATTTCTGCAACGTTGTAAACCCTCGTCTACCACTAACATCATATCTCAATTGAAAAAATTCATACCTAAACATAAATTAACTACAGTTTAAAAATATATTGCATATGTTGTAAAATTAAAGAAACTTGCACTATATTTTTATTTATTTTGTATAAAAGTATAGTGAAGAAGCGATACCGGCTTTCCAAGGCGTTGGCAATCCGTAGGAACACATTCCAACTCAAACGAAATCTTCTTTTGAAGTCCTTCGACCTGTATACACAATTATCCGCAAAGTAATCGTGATATAGATGCTCGTGTCCTTCCTCGCGATTTCTGTTTAACATCGCACGTCTTGTTAGTAGCGGGGCTGGGTCTGGTTGTAGCAGCTCGTTAGTATAATACTGATACATCATCCTGAAGAATATATCGTCATCGGAATCATCGGACGAGTTGAAAGGATCCATAATTCTTTTTTGAAGATAATTGAGATTATATAGAGAGAAAGAGAGAAGTTATGTGTAAAAAATTGTTTAGATATAATAGGTATTTATATAGGAAAAGAATTAATTTTAAAGTTTTTTTTATTAAATTAATCGTATTCAAACGGTTTGAAGTCATAACGGTCGTTTTTTTCTCGTTTCATCCAGTGAAGACGGCAACGAGAAACGCTGCAACGAGACTAAACGAGATGGGGAGGAGTTCATCTCGTCGTGACGCCGTTATCCCCTTCCACGTCGGCAATATAACGAGATGCAAATGCCCCACACCGTATGCTCTAAAGGAGAAATGTTTAGTATTCTCTTTGTTTAATGGAATCAACTTTAATGATTTACTTACCTACCTTGATGAACGGTTTATTTTACGGTTTAAAACTCTTGAAATGAACCTTCAGTTGTACATCCTTTCTTACCTTCCACATATATCGGAGGTGTTAAAGGGCATTTTGATCCAATATATCAATGATTTAAATTTCAACCATGATGGGCATTTCGGTCTAATATATTAATGTTTTGACTTTTGCAACCTATGATTTTAGATGATGATTAGGCCCATTGGTACTCGCATAGCTTGTTGATACATGATTATGGACAATTGAAACCAAGTGATGTCTTTTTTTCATCAAACACGAGGTTCTCTGGACCGACTGCCAAGTTAAGGTCTCACATTCTCATCTGTTATTAGGTTATTTGATTTATGAATATATGTCCCTTGTTTTTCTTGTTTCGCCTGTCTTAAATCATGATCTTAATGGTGAAAAAATATTAAAAGATTCTAGATGTTGGAGTCTAGCATTGTTAGCCATAAACAAGCTGATTCTCCTAAATGATTTAGATCCAAGGTACATTTTACATAAGCCTATGTGTCTAAGAAGTTGTTTTGATTAACAACAATGAAATGAAATGATGTGATATAGTTGTGTGTTGTGCAGTACCACCGTAGATGGTGTATTAGCATGGTATGGGGTAGTTTCTACATGTGATGGCTCTCTGTACATATGGGAATTGTCTTGAGGTGCTAAGTTTGGTTATCTTCACCATTGCATAAGAACATATGTTTCTTATTTTACTTTTTGCCTAATAACTCCAATGTTTCTAAAGCTATAAATATTTTTTATATGTATGTGGAATCAGGAGATACAGTGTCATGTTTGGTGGCGGATGATTTAGGAACTGGTGTATTTGCATAGGGTAGGGACAACATCCAATTACAAGTGTATGCTCTTGGAATATAATAAAATAAAAACCAAGGTACCAAAGTAAAGTTGTGAATTGTTTGTAATATGGTCACAATTCTTTACCTTTTCTCTTGTTCTTTCTTGGATTAATGTGTCATCAAGAATCATACTTAAATGTATATAATCAAGTAAAATACTGAATGAAAAGACTTGCCTTGTTTTGTTTACCCGACATGGGCTACATCTGTTGGGATATGAGATGAATGATAAAAATCGAATATTAAAAAAATCAAAGTACTTGAATATGATACTAAATTGCATGAACTAGATTATTATAGACTTATATAAGATTGATCAACTAATAGACTATATTGGCTAGATACATTTCATTTCAATATATGTTAAGAGTTTGTACTCTTTTTCTTATGGAAAGAAAATCCAGAATTCCATTTGTCCAAAATTTCAAAAATCATTTTATAACCCTAAGTGCAGGAAATAACAATGTACTTTGCTATTTCTTGCATTTAAGCTTCTTTTACCACGAATAAGTTGATGTAAGTTGCTATTTTATGCACTTAGGCCCTATTTTGGTTAAGATACAAGAAATAGCAGCATACTTTAATTTATTTGACTTGAAAAAAAAAACATAATCTACTTTTTTTACTACACAAGTCATTTTATGTCCCCAAGTGCAAGAAATAGCAATGTACTTTGCCATTTCTTGCATTTAAGCTTCTTTTTCCACAAATAAGTTTAAGTAATTTGTTGTTTCATGCATTTAAGCCTTTTTTGGATAGAATGCAAGAAATAGCAGCATGCTTAATTGATTTGACATGAAAAAAAGTGTAATTTAATCTTTTTACTACACAAGTCATTTTATGTCCCCAAGTGTTTGATCGCAAGTCATCATATTAACGACTCGACATTGAGTACTTTCACTCGCTTACATCTCTACGTCTAGTGTTCCTATTACCGAGTTTTTGAATGACTCATTAGTTTTGTGCTTCGAAATAGATTTTCCGAAAAGATTAGTTTAGAGGAAATTGTCCAAGACTTCAAAAACACAAAATGTCGATGAGTTCCACTTTGATAAGTAATGCAAGGACGTTGAACACAATGGATCTTCTATTGTTATTTGAAAGGATGTTGAATCATTTAACTTAGTTCCAGGTGAGTTGAAGTTACAAATATAAGCATTATATATAGTAAAGAGAATATATGGACGTATCAACTCTTAAGTACTAATTTTTACAAATCATCTACATTGAGAATTGTCCTAGAAAAGTAGTCCATCAAATTTACAACAATAACTACATTTTCATCTTATGTTTACATGCTACAAAAGTATGAACTTTTCAGAATGTGTTACTTCACACAAGGTGAGAACAGGGTCGGCTCTACCCTATGCAAAACTAAGCAAGGGCTTAGGGCCTCCAATTTTAAAGCTTATTATGTTAATTATATATGTATATATACATATTTCTTGGATTACAAAGACAAGTTGGAGCTTGACCTGGTGGTAAAAATGGTTGTTTATAAAACCAAGGGTCTCAAGTTCGAAATTGTTTGCTTACTTGTAGTGAGTCCGCCGGGAGCGATGGTCTTCATCAAGCCCAAATCGCATGTCCAGATGAGGCGGCTGATGGTGGTGGCGATCGAGGTAAAAAAATACGACGGCGGTGGAGTTGGCCTCTGTCAGCGTTTTCTCGGGCTGCTTCTCCACCTGTGGCGACTCCTTCCGTCATCAGAATATTAGAGTGAACTCCTTCTGTCACCGCCTTCTGTTTATGAGAATAATGGGAAAGGGAGACGCAATATCCCCAAAAGACAACCGAAGGCAGAAAAGGAACAAAAACCCTAGAAACTACTGAGATCTTTAGGCGGTGAAGTCGATTAAAGCGAGTCGCTGGAGGTGGAGGTAAGAAGAAAAATAAGATGAAAAAATAGGGTGTAAGTAGTGATTCTTGGAAGAAGGGATGCCACCAATCATAATATCATTGGCTTACCGAGTTAGGGAGGCGGTGGAGGAGATAAAAGAACAACATGTGTACACAGAATATAGAAAATATCAAAATATGACCCCCAGAATAATACCAACCCAAAACATCACATACGGGTATAAACAAAGGACCATTCTTGTCAAAAATAGCTTGAGTTCACTATTCCTAAGAAGTGTCCCTCTTTAATATATATATATATATATATATATATATATATATATATATATATATATATATATATATATATATATATATATATAAAAGAACATGTGAAAAAGTTTTTATTTGGTTAAGGTTTTGGTGAGGTCAAAGATTGTTAACCTTGTATTTGCCTAACTTTTACTTACGTTGTGGCTGACTTTCTTCACAACATTGCTAGAGAGTAAATGCCTATGCATACAACGGAAGTGGGATAAAGACAATGGACAACGGCTGCACAATCAACGTTCATATGACAGCACCAGGCCTCAAAAAAGATTGTTTAAGGTAAACCCATGAACGGATTATATTTGTTAATTCTTATTATTGTATCGAGTGGGAAAGTCTCCAAATTGACGAGATATAGATGATTAAATTAATTATATTGTTGTGTTGATATGTATGCTCACTTTATGCTATAATTCGGAAGCTGGTATTAATCAATTACTGAAGTTGATTGAAAAAAAGTCAATCTTATGTAGATAAACACAATCGATCTTCTATGGGCACTTGAAAGGACGTTGGATCATCTACGTTCGTTCCAAGTGAGTTGAAGTTACAAATGTAAGGATTGTAGTATAGAGTATATATGGATGTATCATCTCTTAAGTACTACTCGACAAATAATCTACATTGAGAATTGTCCTATAAAAATAGTCCATCAAATTTAGGGTTAATGTCATAAAAACACTTAAGTTTTCAGGGTTTTTTGGTTTTGCCCAAAATTAAATTTTATGTTCGTTTTTTCCTTACCCTTATGCACGAATTATTGAATAAGTCATCTACCTATCAAGGTTAAGGAGTCAACTGAGCATCTCAGTGGCGGGATTGAATACCCGGATCGAATCAGAGTTCACGCAGTCTGCCCTGAGCAAATAGGAGGCGCAAACTTCCAATTTTTTTTTCATTTTTGCCCTTTTTACATATTAAACCGGATACTTGTAAAGGTGGCAGCCACGTAAGCGCTTATTAGGATGCTTTTGATGATGTGTCAGCCACGCATTTGCTGACAGTGTTTTTATATGGAAGGCTTCACAAAAATTCTATATATAAGGAAAATGAGGTGATGCCACCTCCAACTCACAAACGAGAGGGCTTGCCACTAAGCTACATTGGATTTTATGATTTATTACATGAAGAAATAAATATAATGTATATCACGAAAACAAATTAAATAGATTTTGATTTTGTTTATTATTATTATTATTATTATTATTATTTCGTATTTTCAATATAAATAGGTATTTTTTTGAATTATCACTATAAATATTTTTTTTTCGTATTTTCAATATAAATTCATATATTTTTTCTGTATCATAGGTAGTTAGTTAAATACATGCATTTATATATACACACATTATGTATAAAGATGTTTTTTATTCATATTTATATATATACATTATGTATAATGACATATAAATAACATATTTAAACGTACTTAGAATGTGTATATGTATTTATTTCGTATAAAACTTATTGTATGCATATAAATATGAAAATACCATATAAATACATTCAAAAATATCTCTGTACGTTTATATATGTATAAAAAAATGTTTGTATACATATAAATAACGTTTTTTACATCTAAATAACGATGTTATACATATTTAGATGTATTAAAATGTTTCTCTAACATATAAAATACATCAATATGTTTTTATAAAAAATAAATACATATATACCTAATAAATACATTAAAATACATTTTTATGTGATTTATATGTTTTTAAAAATAAAAAAAATATGGTTTTCAATATATAAACACTCTTGAAAAATTGTAATAATAATAAGAATAATAATAATAGTAACAAAAACAATAATAATAACAAAAAAATAATAATAATAATAATAATAATAATAATAATAATAATAATTTGTTCCAATATTAGACATTATGTATATTAAGTTAGGAAAAGAAACATAAGAATCCTTCTAGCTTAGTTCTTGAAGTCTATACCCGCTTTGTCGGAGGCCCAGGTTCGAATCTTCTCTCCCCCAATTTTGTTCGAAATATGCGTTTTTCATTTTAAGGTAACAAACGCTGACTGGCTGGCTGGCCACGTCAGCTCCTACTCAGCCTCTTCCCTCCCATCAGTTGAGGATTGACCGGCCAAAGAAGGTAAATGGGCAAAAGTGAACATTTTTTCCGGTATTTGAGGCATAAACGAACATAAATTTCAACTTTTGGCAAAACCGACAAAAAACTGAAAACTTTAGGGTTTTTATGATACATGCTAGAAAACTTTGGGAAAAAGCGACAAAAAACGACAAAAAACTTTGGGCAAATCCGATAAATTTCAACTTTTGGCAAAACCGACAAAAAGCTGAAAACTTTTGGGCAAAACAACAATAGCTACATTTTCATCTTATTTTTACATGCTACAAAGTATGAACTTTTTAGAATGTGTTATTTCACACAAGGCGAGAAATGGCCACCCATGGTGTTGGTGGCAATTTTGTTGATATCAAGGACTTTAAAACCCCCCTTTCAGATTACATTACCAAACATCTAGCCCAAAATAAGACCATTAATAGGTCTGTTCAAGATAATTAAGATACATGCTAGAAAATAAGTTGCAAAGAAAAATTAGATGAGAAACTATGTATGTCTAGCCCTTTGCAAATTTGCAATGAACACCATAATCTTCACATAAACCCAATCGCTGAAGCTATCATAAAAGTGAAAAAAAGCATGTCTCCCTCGACGATTGAGAAGTAAAGCCCCAATTGATATCCAAAATCCAGTAGCAAAACCAGTTCCCCCACCAATATAAAACCATCCCCAAAGTTCATCTATGTCTTCCCCATCACCCTCACTTTTACCATTGACTGACGTTGCTTCTGATTCTTCATCTCCAGGACATTTTTTGGTAAGGGGAGGACCACATAGTCCTGTGTTTCCATCGTATGTTGAAGGTGGAAAGGATTGGAGTTGAGTGCTAGATGGGATTCTCCCTGACAAGTTATTATACGAAACATCTAGATGATTTAAAAAAGTCATACCAGACATGCTTAATGGCATCTCTCCTGACAAGTTGTTTCCAGATAAATCCAAAGTTTCAAGTTGTTTCATCTGGCCAATTGTCAGTGGAATCTCTCCAAGTAGAGCGTTATTTGATAAGTTTAGTGAAATCAGTTGATAAAGATTGGTAATCTCATATGGGATTTGACCCATTAAATTGTTGCTTGACAGGTCAATGCTCTTCAACAGTACAAGATTTCTGAAGAATTCTTGTTCATCTCCTTGCCACTCGATCATTGCATGGTCAACATACTCATCATCTTGAAAATCATAAAGACCACCTCCTGAATAATACCACTCAATTGAATAGGAATGCACATTTTGTGTTGGTAACAATCCTTCTTGAACCATGCTCATAAGATTATCCAAACACGAGGGGATGGTTCCATGGAGATGGTTCATGGACAAGTCTAGAATTTGAAGATTTGGTAATTGACATAATTGCAAAGGGATGGTTCCAAAGAAGATGTTTGATCTTAGTATAAGAACATACAACCATGACAACTTTTCCCCAATCCAGACAGGCACATTACCAGAAAACTTGTTGGCCCCCAAAATTAATGTGGTCAAATTCGTACAATTCTTTATGGACAAAGGCAATTCTCCGAATAAGCCGTTCTTGTGTAAATCCAACACCTCGAGTTGTATCAAAGATCCAATGGGGGGAGGAAGCCTTCCAGATAGATTGTTGTGTCCAAGATTAAGGACTTTTAGTTCTTTGAAATGCCACAAACAGTCTGGAATTTGTCCGGTTAGAGAGTTATGGGAGAGGTCAAGAAACTCTAAAAGCCCATGGACAATTTGGCATAAAAATGAGATTCCTCCATAGAATTTGTTTCTGGAAAGATTTAATGATGCCACAGTGGAAGAAACATTCGATATTTGACCATAAAATCCGTTGGAACTCAAATCTATCACTGAATTGTTGTCAAAATTTAATGATAAATCTGGTGCTTTCCCGGAGATGTTGTTGGAAGAAAGATTCATGCATATTAATTGAGAAGGCCACATGTCCCAAACTTCCATAGGAATGGTGTCTGAAATGCCATTATTGGAAATATCAAGATACACAAGATTTTTCAGTGTTTGAATCCATTTGGGGAAGCTAGGGCCTAGATTGCAAGAGCTCATTTCAAGATGGGTAAGATTTGTCAGTGTTTGGATCTTGTAGGATGGTGGCCCTACAAATTGGCTATGAGAAGCATCCAACCATTGTAATGGAAGCGATATGCATCCAGACAAGTTGTTGAGAAAAACAGGAAATTCGATTATTGCAGAGTTGTTATTCAGATATAAATAGGTCAAATTACAGAGGTTTGTATTGATGCATATATGAACTGCCCCTATGACTGTATATATAGCCTCGACTGTGAAGGTAGATGGCATAACTTGTGTAGAGCATAGGATATTTCCCTTCCATGGAATTTGAAATTTTGAACCAAGCTATAAGACAAACTCATGATGAAGAGTTGAAATAAATTGTCCCAGCCAAGCTGTAAGTCAAACTAATGATGAAGAACTGAAATCAAATGCCCCAAATCAGACGTTCAAAGACTCACAAGTCTTGGTAATTTGTATCTATTATATATACGTTTTCCCATTGTGTCATGTAAATCCCAAAAAACAAACTAATTGAACGTAGAATATCCGCCCATGAAGATAGTGTTCTGATATTATTTGGTTTTAAGAATCTAATCACTGTGAAATGTCTTATCTCAATTCTCAATTAGATTAATTAAACTGTGAATTTGTTTGAATGAAGCCCAGTTGGTCCATTCCGCATTAATATTTTGCAATCATCAATGGTTTCTACACAACTCTCCGTGTCTGATATTCCTCTGTTTCAAGTAGTGCGCTAAATAAATAAAAAAACGAACTAATTAGTACTTTTTTTAAAAAGGGTATAATTCTTTTAATCTATGATCTTATCAGTAAGGGTTTTTTTTTCATTAAGTGCTAAATTAACACCAAAACTATTTTAGAGAAAGCAATAGCAAAATCAGAATTTTGACCAGGAGTGCAATTCTCTTACTATGCCCTCTACAAAGTCCCTATATATTTAGTCAAAAGGACCAACTAATTGTGCAACAAAATGGAACTACAAAGATTTACCATGTAACAAAATGCAAATGAAAATTAGAATTGTTTCTTATTTAAACGAATGAACATCTGGATGAAAGTAAATGACCTTTTTATCTTTTTATCTAAAAGTTAAAATTCATTCTTTACATATTTGATAGATTTGTTTTTACTACTTTTCTTTTAGAAGTTGTAATAAAATGTAATTATCTTAATAAAAAAAAAACATGTAAAAGTTGCAGAACACATGCACTAATTAGTTTTCCAAAAACAAATTTATAAAAAACCATTGTAAAAAAACATATAAATACTGTAAACAAAATCTTAAAAAAGCGGATATGTAAACGTTGGAAACCACCTCTCAAGAAGACAAAATATTTAAATTAAATTGTATTTTGAATTCATTGAAAATAGTTGGTTGAACGTTTTTGGCTTTCAACCAGCTATAAAAAGACAAATGGAAGTGCAATGCTATTAAAGGGTAGATTTTTTAAAGTGCAATGCCTTGACATGAAAACAGTTTAAAAATACAACATTGTAATAGAAAGAAATAGAAGTATGACGCTATAATAGAGAACTAAGAAATTGAAAGTAAGATGTTATAACAAATGTATAATATATTAGCAATGATATAGAAGGGCGACAACTACAAATAAGTTCTAATAGTAGAAAACATATAAGCCGGTCTAATAGTTGAATTACTCGTATAATTTACACTGCTGTAATCAAGTAAAGTAGTAATCATCACAAAACAATACTATAAACAAATCAACAAACTACTAAATTATATCTTCTTTTATACTGAAAGTAATTGAGTATAGTAATTAATCAGCAACACGTACATATTTTTTTATGTATAACAACATGTAACCCATGATAATAACATACTTCCACCTCTTAAAAGATAATAGTAATATGTAACAAATAAAATACAACACAACACAACAACAATGAACTCACCTTACAGCACAATATACATAAAATTGATCACAAACAACAATCATATTCATACCATATCGTTTTTACTTAACAGTCTCTCCTTTCATAGCAACCGAAAGGGCAGCAAGACTTCCTTCTTTTTCCACAATCACTCCAGGCATAACCACACCTCGACTCCCCACAAAACCACCTTCTTTAACCTTAATCTTCCCAAATTTCACTTTACCCCCTTCACCTTCATATATATGTCCAAACAACAAACTTTCTCTCCCCACAGATCCATACCTTTCAATACTCACCATCTCAGGGTTCAACACAGCACCCATCCCATCCACATAAATCCCTTCATCCCAAGCCACTTCTGAACCCATCAACTTCATCCATATCCCAAACATAAACGAACCACCAGTCATTTCCATGAAATACTCCCCAACCAATGTCCTAATCGCCTGCCATACTGTGTCCATATACACTCCTTTACTCCAAATCATCACACTTTCCCCTTCTTTCTTCTTCCCCACAAGAAACCACTTCATTACAACACACATTAATCCAGATAAAACCCCGGAAACGGCCCACAAAAATGGTAGCATCCAATATAACTGTAGACCATGTTTCCCTTTCAAGAAAAAAGTTACACTAAGTGGAGTGAAGATGATCAACCCCATTAGAAAGTAGGGGATGAAGATTTGAAGTATGGGTTGACCGGTCAACATCCATAAGGTCTTGTACCATGATCTTGTGAGTGTCACCTTTTCAGCTTCCTTTTTTACCATCACATTTCCCATTGGACAACCGGTGAGATCGACTTTTACATCAGATTGATCCAAGAAGCTTCTCCAAGCTTCCGAAAGCGGTTTGTTGTTGCGTAAATGTTGGCAGATTGAGTAAACAACCGATCTTCCATGATCCATGGAAGCACTCTGGGAGCATGACGTGGCACGGATAACATCAACTTCATGACATCTTAGAAACGGATTAAACTCCAACTTTTCAGATTCTTCTTTTGTGAGTATTTTGTCGATAGTTATCTCTCCGATTTCCACGTAAGGGTATTCCTTTTCGTCCCATGGCTTTGTACAATCAAGCGCAACCTCACGTCCATTTTCGTCATTTGGCACTTCACGAAATTGAAATTGAAGAACATACCGAACTTTTTCAGAATTCACTCGACGACTAAAATCATCTTCTAGAAAAAGAAGCGGGCGTTTGTCATTTTCGTCTCGTGGGATTGCACCGGTTTCAGGAGGAAGTATGCCTGTGGGGTCCACTTTTCCGGAATCTTCATTTATTGCTTTATCAAAAGGTCTTAACTTAAACTTCACGTACATTTCCTTTCCATCTTTGAACCTAAACAACCTGCAAATGTTTGAATAGTAATGGAGGTCGGCATAGGAATCGGCTTTTCTAATGGAATCCCACATTGCATCCCTTACATGAGGAGCATGTTTCACATGCTCTTCACGTGCCTGTGCCCCACACACCAACCATGAAGCAAAGTCACCAATGGTACGTGCATGGAACGCTTTACCAGTCTTTAATGTCAAATCAAGAAGTGGAGAGTGTTCATTATTTGAAAGTATTCTTATTGCTGCACCACGTGGATCAAGCCTGGCATCGTCATCTGAACTTAAGCAATTGCTATGCCGGAGAATGACGGAATAGTTGATTCCGGGGGAGAAAATATTGTGGTCAGGGAATCCAGGAATGTTTCCATAGAGCTTTAGAGTTCCCTTTCCACATGCACCGATTCGATGAAAGTATCTTGCTTTCACTTTAAGGGTGGCAGCAGCTAAGTTTGCAGCAAGATTTCCAAGGACTTTTTTGTACTTTTTGTCCATTTCTTCGATTCTGTCATCTAAAACATGAGTCATGTTTTTAACCATGATCGGAGTTTGAGATCCAACAAAAACACCGCCTGTTTTGAGGATGGAATTCATGGGAGCAATTGAAAGAGCACCGAGAATGACATTGGGCTCAATAACAGCACCAGGTAGGACAACACCTTGGGACCCGATTACTGAGTTCTCTTGTATCTTCACATTTCCGTATAAATACCCTTTTGAGGTGTAAACCCCAGGGACAATCCGACTAAAATCGCCTAAATGGACGCCATCACCGATTGACACAAACTCTGGAATTGGAATCGGGTTGATTGCTCTTATAGAGCAATGATGACCGATCTTTGCTCCTAAAAGACGAAAGTAAACACAGAATGCTTCTGTCCCAGAAAGGAATTTTGCGAATTTTAAATGGCAGGAAGTGGATAGACGATTGCAAAACCACATGATGAAATGGTTTTTATGTTTTGATTTTGAGAGTATATGAAGCAAGATGGAAGTAAGGAAAGTGAGGATGATGCCATGAGAGAGGTATGCTATTGCAATGGTGAAGGAAAAAGCTAATGGGTTTGTAGGAATGTCTTTGAAGATGATGACATATGCAAGAACATTGAAAGGAAGCCAGTGAACAGATGCACATAAGCAAAGAAAGCTGAAGTGTTGTAAAGATTGAGGCTTTTGAGATACCCAAAGGTAGATTATGTAACAAATGGCTGCAGATAGAGAGCTTACAACACCAACCATGTAAATCCCAAAAATGTGGTAAAAAGGCTCATGTTTGACCTCTTGTAAGTTAATACCCTGCAATCAAGGTTCAGAAGTAGAAGTTATTATTGTCAACTTAAAAACAAATCAAGAAAAGAGATTAGTACATTAGTAAAACATACCTTTTCAAGTATAGGAATCTTGGAAACCTTAAATTCACGTTGACCACCTTTGACTGTTTGCAAGGCAGGAATCATAATCCCATCTTCTACAATGCTGCCTTTTTGAATCACAGCATAAGGACCAACACATGAGTTTTCCCCAATTTTGATTGGCTGTAAACTCAACACACCATTTTTGAACTCATGGCTTTGTATCAAAGCTCCTTCTGCAATCACTGCTCCTTCTTCAATGGTGACTAAATACGGGTCCGTGATATCAATGGTGTCAAGCAACACAGATGATCCAATCTTTGCTCCAAGAATCTTAAACCACAACCTCACATACACTGTACCCTTTAAATACACTGCCAGATTTCTAGATGCAATGTCTTGGACTTTGTATAATGTCCACCATTTCACAAAGTCGATTGACCAAATGGATGTATCAGGGGTAAGACCGTAATTAGGTTGAAGAAACGAGTTCCCAAATAGGCCGATGGTAACACATGAGGTAAAAATGTAAAACATCCAAACAAGAGGGGCACATGCTAAGGAGAATAAGTAACCGAATTGGGTTTCATGGATTAGAGAGATGAAAGCAGAGACCGAAAGATAGATTGGAATTGTTAACAAGAACGAGATGTATACAAGACCAAAAAGATGGGAAACCCAAATACCAAACTTATGAATTGAAGAAGGTTCGATTGATGGTTTAACAGAACGTGTCTTGTACTCAAGGAGATTTGATTCAGGATGTGCTGACTCAGCACAAGATTTTCTTATAAGATCTTCCGCGAAATCTGCCAGGTCATCAATACAGGTGGCTGTGAAAATGTCGATTGCACCCACAGGAATCTCGAGAAAAGAAGTGAAGATCTGAAAGAAGTTTCTTCAAAAAGTTAATGATTTCTTTCTTAGATATAACAGAGACATCTTCTTTAATCACTTTCGGGGTATTTGATTGAATCAGAGATTGTTTCTGTGTGCATATTTTGATTACTTGCAACTTCCCCTCAGTGAACTGTTTTAAACATTCAAACCTTTTAATCTTCCCTGATGTTGTTTTACAAATGCTTCTTTCTTTAATAAACACAATTGAAGCAATTGTAATCCCATGCTCTTCTGCCACATGGGTTTGAATTCGTTCAATTATTTCTTCATTGGGAACCGAATTCCCTCGAACCTCTGAAATTACAACTAACCCCATGTCTGAATTTTCAGGTGTCATTACCCCTTTAGCCGATAAAATCTCTTCAGGAACACCTACAACTGCACAACAACCAGGTCGTATAAACTCAGATGAGGACTCAACTGTCTTTTCAACATCTGAAGAGTATATATTCCTTCCAGAAACAATAATCATATCCTTTATCCTCCCTGTGATAAATAACTTTCCATCAATAATCCTTCCCAAATCACCACTCCGAATGTACAATTTCCCAACTTGCCCTTCAAGTTGGTTGCCAAAAGTCTTCTGACTCAACTCCTCCATCGCCCAATACCCAACACCCGCACTTAAACTACTTACCCAAATCTCCCCTTCTTTTCCATGTTCTTTATGTTCTTCACTTGTCTCAGGGTCAACTATTCTAATGTCCATGTCAGTATCATTTGAATTCACAAACCCACAACAAATCCTTCCTTGCCAATCTTGAAAAATCGGTTCCCCATTTCCATACGCGCAACTAATGTAAACCGAGTTCTCAGCCATTCCATAACCAGGAGCCATCACCTCTCGAGAGAGCCCAAACCCCTGAGTCAACTCAATAAACCGTTTTAGGGTTTTGGATCTCACGGGTTCAGCAGCCACCATGAGAAAAACCATGGAAGAAAGATCGAGTTTCATGATGTTTTCCTTCTTGGATACCAATCTTCTTATCAAAAGCTCAAAAGCAAAATTCGGTCCAGCACTATGAGTAGCATGGAACTTACTCATGGTTTGGAGCCATAACATCGGGTTTTTGATGAAAGTTAATGGAGAAAAGAGTACACCTGTTCCACCACTAACCATTGAAGTAAGAAACCCACCAATGAGCCCCATGTCATGATACTGAGGTAACCAACTTACAAGAATTGTATTTGATGTACTTTTGTATACCTTACGCATCAACTTCACGTTATGAACAAGTCCCCCATGTGTAATCATGACCCCTTTCGCATCTCCAGTTGACCCAGATGTGAATTGAAGAAAGCACAAATCTTTTGGAAGAATCTTATTTTCTTTCACTAATATATCATCATAGCTGATGTCATCACCACCTTTGAAGTTCTTGATCCAAGAATCTGTATGCAACCATGGGAGATTAGGCCAGGATGGTAGGTTTTTTGTTTTCCTAGTTAACATAATCTTGTTTTTTGCAGAATTTGTTTTGACAAACACATGGTAGCTGAAAGTTGATAAGATTGCAACTGCTTTTGTTTTTTTGGCGATGTTTTCAATATGAAGAAGTGATTGGCCTCCTGTTTGTGATGGATCAGGAGGAATGGCGGGAACTGGTATTACTCTTGCTCTCAAGCAACCAAAGAAGGCATCGATGAATTCTAAGCCAGGTATGTAGACTAGAAGAACTCTATCTCCAGGGTGGATATTTGGCTTATTGTTTGTTAAAAGCTTGTGAGAGATATAGGAAGCATTAGCATTTAGCTCTTTGTATGTTCTTCGAGCTATTGTTTCTCCTTTATCGTTTGTCCAAATGTAAAGTGTCTTATTTTTAATGCGCTCATGGTTTCCCCAGTGTCTTAGATAACCATCGATTGATGTGATATCTGGAAACTTTACACCTGGTTCTTCATCTAGTTGTTTGGCAATCCATGAATGAGTGTCTGATTTCATAGTGAACAATCTCTGCAAAATATTGGATTTTATTAGTTAAAAAGTTTTTGATTTTGGAGCTGTTTAGTGGTTAATATCTTGAATTTTGTACCTTGATGTATGGGAATTTGGGCTCTGGATTGTTAGTGGCGAAATGCTTCATAACTAGAGAAAGAGCATATGATGAATTCCTTTCTGTTAGCTCAAATGCCATTAGCCCTCCAACATAGAAAGTGTTGTTCTGACCTTGGAGTTGGTGTTCCAGTTTCTCATAAAACCCATCCTTCATTTCTGCATTTGATTCAACAACGTTAGTAAGTTTTTCTAGGAAGTATAAAATGGAAACCAAGATAACATACTATACCTTGACTGTTGACATGAGGAAAGTACTTAAATCGTCTTTGTAGAATTACTTTCTCGACCTTGCCCCCAATACTTGTGGCTGCATCAATTGCTAGCTGAATGACTTTCTTACCAACAATATCAGCTGAATTACCATAGGACCAAAACAAGAATATATTCGTGTCTGAGTAGAATCTTTGCATTGCGACAGGATTGCCTATAGTTTTTGGATCTTCCATGAACTCCTGGAAGTAATAAAACCCAACTGGAATATGCTCCAATCCATCTATCTTCAATACAGTAGTATAGTAATCAATAGTCTCCACTTTACCAAATAATTCCTTCTCAAAATCACTTAAATCCATAGCCTCATTTACAGTTTCTTCTGCAAAAAACAGCAAAACGATTAATCAAAGCAACCCTAGTAAATTAGAACCGGTACAAACTGACAATTGACAAACAAACCTGTTGTTTTTGAAGGTGATCTATAGATCTTTCCATTTTGTAAAGGGAACGAACCAGAGACGACGAGTTTATCGAATTCCATATGTTGCGTTTCACCATTGACGATTTTGGCTTCGATTTTAATGGTGTTACCATTGCGATTGACTGATAATACTTGCATATTACAATGAATTTGTGCGGGAAGCTTTTTACTTATCTTATCCCAAACGCTCGTATACCCGCCTTTAAATCGCCTGATCTTTCCCGCCATTGAAGTCCTTGTGAATTCATGAACGTAAGCATAAGGCATATCCTGTACAAATCCATAACCTGAAGCCGTGAATCCATAGACAACAGATTTAGGAACTGATTCGAGTCCGTTAGATTTGAGAAACGAAGGCGTTGGTTCTGAAGCAATATCGCTGACTGCGTGCACTCCGATTCGGCCTGTGGCGTTGGCTTCATCCTGGAGTTTTAAGGTTAGGGATATAACGGAGATGTAATCGTCTACGACTTTTGTGTCGTCGTATTTTCCGGTGGTGTGAATGACGGCGAACTTATGAGTGTCTAATTCCTCTGTTTCAGCTCCGATTTCTTTAGCCAGATGAAAGATGGTTGGAGCACTATTTGTAGCTAACACTTGACCTCCTAAATCGTATATGCTCCCTGTTACAAGTTATACAAGTTACAACCAATCTTCTTGAATGTAAGATATAAAGCTGAAATACAGATTACCTCATTCCATCTATTAATGGTACGTAACAAATTTTTATCAATGTAAACGTAAAGTGTTAATTTATGATTCTGTTTTACTTTTCCCTCGAGACCTTCAAAATCAACCGATGGCGTTGATAAAATGTAAGATATAAAGGGTTCAAATAGATTTGAGGGATGTACCAACATAATTTCCCTTAAAGAGTATAGTTCTGTAGGACAAACATTGGGTTGTTGATAACTTTAACTAATTAGCAATAAAAGTTAAATGCATGTATACATAAAAGTCGTTTTCTTTAGAACTTCACTTTCCTAAGAACCGACCATTTAGCTAATCCTGATTTGTAGTTCATTCTTAAAAGTCGTTTATCTCAGAACTCAGAAGGTGTGGAGAGCCATTTCATTTCAAATAAAAAGCATATAAGTATAAAAACAAAAAACAAGATTATTAATTAAGATCTTGTTAACGCGTGACTTGGAATTTGGTGACCCGAATGAATAACCTGATCCGAAACAAAGTGAAGAAAACTCGAATAGTGATTTCGAACTGGCCTAAAGCCGTAATCCTTATGTGGTTTTATTGTTTTTCTTTTGTTTTCTTTTGTGACAGATCTATATGTGGGAAGTTTCCCAAAGACACCATGATGAGGGTTTTCCGTTATCTTCATACATAGCCAACTTGAAGACTAGTTTTATGCAATTTTTTGTTATGTTCATAGCTTTTATGTCGTGTCCGTTTTTAATTATGCACCTAAGCCTCGACAATATAGTAAAGGCTAGCTAGATGCCGACAAGCCATTATATTCGGTCTATTTGTGTAAATAGATGTAAATCTAATGATTAGAAAATGTACCTTCAATATCTACAGATTCACACATGCCACCTACGGACCCATGTTTCTCAATAACAATCACGTTAGAGTAACCAAGTTTGCATAATGCATAGGCAGCCGATAACCCACTTGGGCCCGCCCCAATAATCCCAATCCTTGTGTCTGTTTGAAAACAAGGATGTAGCTTCGAGAATTGATCATCTATCACTGCATCCATCTCCATATTTTCCTAGTAATTAAATATTCCTGATCATGAAAACACAATTATAAAAGTGATAAGGGTTCAAGTCTATAAGCAACCATGGTTGTGAATTTCAGTTCTATTCGGTTAGACTATTATATACTTGATTTAAATTTTACATAATGTTTTATAGTGCGGGCCAACTAGAGTTAACTCTTTCGAAAAAAAAGATTTACTTTAAGTTTTGACATATGATAAAAAAAATATTGGAGGAACCTATTTCATTTCATTTTGTGTGTCTTCGAGACAAACAATTAAAATGGAATGATGAGTGAACACATCGGTATATGTCCCATTTTGTACATCATGTATTAGGATCACGAAATGGAACATGTGAAACAATGAAACAAAAGCAAAGCTAAGATACATGATACCTTCACGAAGCAAGCAAATTAATATGCAGAAAATAACCCCAAATATATCTGCAAAAAGTAGTTTGCGTAAGCTTCTTTTAGTCCATGAGATGGTTTTGTTTATTGTCATATGCTAAAACTTTAATATCTCGTGTTTCTTTTATACTAGTAGTAGTGGTGGTCCGAGTATCCAAGTCATCATTTTGTAAACTTGTGTATATTTCAATAAGCAGTTAGTTAAACATTGGGTTTGGACTTAATACGTATTAATTAACGTAATTAATTCAATTCTTAAGGCTTGGAACTTGGAAAGTTTCCGTATATGATCAAATGGTCACTTATGTTGAACAATTCAATAAATTAAGACTTTAACTCGGCCAGTTATTTCAACATTTGAGCAGTTTGATTAATCAATTTGTGGACTTTACTAATTACAAGAGAGAAAAAAAACACATGCAGAATTGGTCTCCGAATGCTAGCTAGGTATTATGGCAATATAAAAATATTAGACAAACACCCAAATTCAAATCATCCTAAACTTATCTTTCCTCCTTGGATGCCTTTTGTGCTTAGTGCATGTTACGAACCTTGTTGCAACGTAACATACTACAAAAAACCGTTCAATAATCATTTTTTGGTATTTCATAAAAGAGTAATATTTTTTAAGTAATCATGTTGTTTGATTACATTAATTTATTTTCACGAACAGTAGAGAGTTTACAAAATACGATCCCTAAAGGTATCCTAATTTACAAAGTAGTTAGAAAAGTAATTTTATAAACTTAATGGCACTTCAAAAAAATCCATTTTCAAAATTAATGCATGATGTGAGTATTTGGTGATAGTATTTAAAAAAAACTAGTCCTATTTTCGTGAAGAGGAGAGTTGAACGGATTGTGAAGAATGCATTAACGAATAAGAGTAACATGGTTTCATGCATTGAAAGATTTAGTTTGATCATAAAGCAAAAGAAAAAAAAGAATCCTGAACTTACATAGATTATTCAGAGCCAAGAAGCATCATCTGAGCAGAAGAATTTGGTGAGATGGAATGAGCAATGAGACGCACAGAACCAACATATATATAGAGGAGGAAGATTATAGAAACACGTAGAAAAAAACAACTCATGCAGACGTATACCCATAGGAATATCCATGCATGCATCATGGAATCCTTGTACGTTACTTATATCCGCTTCCATGGAAGTAAGGTTTCACGATTTTTGATGAATTTAATACTTGAATTTCATTCTTGATGGGATTCACTGAAATTTTATTTTGAAAAAGAAATGCAGAATATTTGGGGAGCATATGCTGCAGGCCCAACAAAAATTAATGGTTGCCTCAAATAGAAAGGCACACACATTGAGACACCAAGAAAGAGACACACATAAGTACAGCCATTAGGGATTGATTTCTTGATGTTGATCTTTTCAGAGTCCCTACGGATTCAAATTCAACTGTGGGGTTTAGCGTTAAATAATCTTTGATTTGTTGTTTCTCAAATGAATTTGTTACAAGTTGGAGGGTTTATTTTTTAAATTTTAAATAATATGGAAGTTCTAGGTCTCTTGATAAATCAAATAAGGTATTCGAGTTTATTTAGGTTTTTCGGTTTGTAATGAAATAAGGTATTAGAGTTTATTTAGGTTTTTCCGTTTGTAATTATGGTTTTGGGAGATACAAATTGGATCAAGAAAGATTGGGTCAAAACTTGTGAACTTTTATAAATGGGCCACTTTTTTACATGTTTTTTTTAATAAACTTAATTATTTGTTTTCCATCACTTTAACGAAAAAAATATTATGGATGTATTCAGGGGCGGTTCTACTATGGTGCTCATAGCGGCACCGGCAACCCCTATTCTTTTTCGGTTGCACTATAAAAATTTTCGAAATTTTCGTTTTTTTACTACTGTGCCACTACGTAAAAGAAAAATGTGTCACCGGCAACACCTACTACCAAATCTTGTGTTCGCCCCTTACTGTATTCCCTTATATATATACATTAAATATATATTTCCTTTTACTCACAAATCAGACTTTTATAAATAATTTTAGCAATGAAATCATGTGTCGCTTTTCCCAAAAAAAAAACAAATATATAATTTTAAACAAATTTCTAACGGATTAATGATGGATTATAGTTTGTGACTAACCCTAAAAGGAAACCATTATTTAAACTAAAAATTTCACAGCTAACCTGTTGCTAAATTTGGCACGGAGCTTTTGGAAGCGTTTGGGAGCTTCTAGCTTTTAACTTTTGACAAAACGCTCTAGTTTAAACAAAAAGCTTCGTTTGGCAGTACGAGCGTTTAGCTTTTAGTTTAAACAAAACACTCCAATTCTAAAAGCTACTTCATGTAGCATTTAACAAAACGCTACTGAGCTTTTGAAATCAATTTCCATAATTACCCTTAAAAATATATTTATATATTTATTTATTTTTAAGGGAGAATTTCGTATACGCCCTTCCTAAACAGCTAAATATCGTATTTGCTCGGACTAAACTCTAAATATCGTATTTGCCCTTCCTAATGTTTTTTAATATCATATATACCCAAATCTATTTTTTGGTATTTTTTATTGATTTATAATTGTTTTTCATAATATTAAATCATTATAAATAAAATACATTATGAATGGACAATAATACCCTTCCTCCTAATCTCCAATACAACACACGATTCACAGCTTTATGGATCGATTCTGCCAAAAATCGTTTCCCCCATACATTCTTAAGTCACAATCGATCCTTCCCTTCCCTGAGGCTTCCGATCTTTGCATCCAATCGCTACATCTAATCGATCGCTGATTCCAGTTGGTGTTTCCCCTGTTATCGCATATACACACACGCAAGTTGTAGCTTCCTTCCGTATCTAGCTTCCTTCTGATCGTAGCATAATTCCTTCTTCCCCCTGTTGTCGCACACTCACATCATCGAATCAGGTACTATCGACTTCAACATATACCTATTTTCCATCTCTTTAATTTCGTTTTTAAGGTTTTTAGTTTCAACTGTTCAAATTCTTCTTACAATCCGCTTTGTTATGTTGTATTTGATAGCTTAGTTATGTTGGATTTCAGGTACAATCGGTTTCAGTGAACTAAGAACTTTTAATTTCGCCTATGATCTTCTAGTTAGTCTCTTCTGTTTTGACATCAATTAGTTTTCTTCATGATATACAAATTAGACAAATTATATGGAAAAGGAATTATGAAACTGATACAGGGACTTCAACAATCGAGATTCTAGATGTGTAGGTGACTTATTCATCAGTTGTAATCCCAAATTGAATGTTCAATTGACAAAAAAAAAATCATAAAATCCTGATTACTGTAGCTGCAATAAGTCTAGGAATTGTTGAACAAATCAAACAACAACAACATAATCAAAATTGAGGAACGGGAATGGATTCGGTTTTTAATTACCTATGTGTGTGTGTATGCGATAAAGGGTCTGGGTCCGCCGACTGGAAGCATGATTGATTGGATGCGGATGCAACGATCGATAGTGTTTGGAACACTCGATCGTGACACTGATTGGAGGTATCGACAGGCTTGATCATGAATTGTGGGGAAAAGGAAAACTCCATGATCGCTAATATGTGAATCGTGATTTGGAAATTAGAAGGAAGGGTATTGTTGTCCGTTCATAATGTATTTTAATTATGATGATTTAATATTATGAAAAACAATTATAAATCAATAAAAAATACCAAAAAAATAGATTTGGGTATATATGATATTAAAAAATATTAGGAAGGGCAAATACGATATTTAGAATTTAATCAGGTAAATACGATATTTAGCTGTTTAGGAAGGGCGTATATGAAATTCTCCCTATATTTAATCAATTGTCCTTTTATGTAATTTTATACATTTCAAAAGCTTCCAGCTACTTTTGCCAAACATTCATATAACAAATAAAAGCTATATCTTCCCGCTACCAGCTACCCGCTACACGCTACCAGCTACCCGCTACCAGCTAACCGCTACCCGCTTCCAGCTAACAGCTACTTTTGCCAAACACGCCCTATATCGTTCATTCATTGTTAATTTTATAAAATCAGTGACAACTTAATCTTGAAATTGAATACATTTAGTTATTTGCTTATTTTGTGTAACAATTCTAGCAGGTGATATTATAAAGGGAAAACTTCATTCATATACTTACAAACTTTAAATATTATTTACAAACTTTAAATATTATTTATTTATCGTTATAAATTTTTGTAAGTCCGTGAACTCGGATCTATCAAAGTATCAATGCAATTGTTTGATCTAATGCGGAATCTTAATCAAACAATAATACGAAACAATCAATAAGATATATCAAGAATACGTTTCAAATGAATGCACACAATTCTATTGATAATTGTCAAGTACATTCAATCACTCTTTATTCGTGAATAACTCGAATTCACCAAAAACGCATTAACCTAGAAAGGCTATACACAAACCATATATATACTAACCAATAACCTAAAGCCCATACGAAATAAGCCCACCGAAAACACACTAAGCCCACCGAAATCACATGGTGATTTCGGTCTAAAACCGAGAACCATATAATACATTCAAAGCAAAGCATAAACCACTAAATATAGCCCAACAATCTCCCCATTGGTTTATTGCTTTCTGTTCTCTTCAAGGTTTCTCAACGAGATGCACGTCTGCTTGGTCAAAAGCCCCTGCCCACAACTTCTTGTCAATTATTGTAGCTACCATTCCAGTGAAGGCTTTTGCGGCAACTTCAAACAGTTCATTCTCAACAATTATTTGAAAGTTTGACAAAGTGCGGATATCACGTTCTCCAAACTTTAACAAATCTTTGGGATCAACAAAACGAAACTGGTTTTTCTTCAGCTTGATCACCACCGTAGCAGTAGCCTCATCAAAAACCCAGAATTGCAATGTATCCAAAATTCCTTCAGGTAAGCATTTGGGAAGAGGAATCCTTTTAGCTTGCTTTGTAGGTGGCCACATGACATTCATCATGGTTTTGTTTGTGCGGGGATCAATGACACCCTTGGCCTTCTTAGTGAACGATGAAGCAGTCTTTAAGTCTTCAAAGTTATTCTTCGCTTTAATCTCAATAAAATTCTTAAAAGACCAGGCCATGACATCATTGGTTGGATTGTGGAAAGGTGTGTGGATGAGTTCAGAAAGATCAAATTTTGTCCAGGACAAGAAGTCAACTTTCTTCTCATAATATTCAAATTTTCCACTTTTCCGCTTCACGACCCACATCTTCTTATCAACATCATATCCCCACATGATGATGCCAGAACGATCCCCATATTTATCTGTAAACTTATTTCCAGTTTTCCTAAAAAACATTTCAGGGTGACCACCTAGAGCATTTTGGTCTGAATGCTTCATCACTAGTATCTTCCCTTTCAGCTGCTCAATCCTTATTTGCTTTTCTCTTCTTTCTTGAGCAGAAGAAGGACCAAAAGATAAGAATGCATCAACATTAGCATCTGGAGCAGGTCTTGTAGCTCTTACACTTGAAGATTGAGAAGCTGGATCGGCGGGACCTGAACTAGAGGCAGTGATCTTTTCTCCTTCAGCACTCAGCGGTTGAAATTCATCACCAAACTTTTGAAATATGTGTTGTTTCAGGTCAAATAATAGAGCAGTTAGACCACCAAGATTTTCTTGAAGTTCATAGATCTTTGAATCTTTATTAGAGTTCTCTTTCTCAAGCTCGCTGATTCTAATATCCTGCTTTCCAATAATCAAATCTTTTTCGGCAGAGCTTTGTTCCAGATCAAAGACTCTGTTCTGAAGCAGAACCACATCAACTATTTCTGATTCAGACAACTTGCTTTTGCCTTTGGAGATGTCCAGCTCAGGTGTTTCAAATGAGCTTCTTGAGGCTTGAGCTCCTTCTGAAGGTATGACATCTTCTTCAACAATCGGGCTTTGAAAATCTTGATCCATAGGAATGGGATCAGGGATTGGGCTTGGTATGTCTTGAATGTTTTGAGCCATAGAACTAGGCTCAAACGGTGTAGCTTTCTTGTGAACTAGGTCTGTGATAAGCACTCCCAGCTTGGATCTCTTCTTTTTTGCTTCCTTGGGAGTAAAATGTTGGCTGAGTCTTCTGGATCGCTACCAGATGGAAGTTCAGTATCAACATGAACTGTTTGGGGAGGCTTCCTTGCAGTTCGCTAAAGTTCTGCAATAAGTGCATCCATCTGTTCAGGGGTAGGTGAGGAAGATTGCACCATTGTGTCACTTTCCCTTTCAGTTACGATCGGAGGTGTGACAGCTACATCCTCTTCAAGAATTGAAATACTTTGCTGAATGAAATCTTCAAACTCATTTTCTGACAATTCTTTTTCTTAATCCTCTTGATCTTCTTCATCATCAGATACTTCAATCTCTTCAAAAGCAAATTGAAACTTTGGTTTGGGTGCCACGTGTTCATCGGCAACCTCAACATTTATGGAACTAACAGCAGGAGTGTCTTCAACTTCAGCAAACTTTCCAAATTTAATCAACTCCTTCAATCCTTGAAAAGCAACTTTGGCAGCCTTTCTTGATTGCTTCATGAGTCCAAAAGTGTTGGGACCCAAAGCTTTCATATCCAAAGTATCAGACGACCTCTCAATTTGGGGATATTTCTCATTTAGGATCATTTGAAGGAACCCGGGGTACATTAAAAATAGGTCCTTTTTCTTTCCCAGAAGGTTGCTCTTCATCTCTTCAAAAATGAACTTTGAGAAGTTGTAATCCCAGTCCATAGAAAGAGCAACAATGGCTGAGGTCACAGTCTGACTAATTTCATCAGAGCCTTCCTTTCTTCCAGAAATGCAAATCACAAAGGAGTGTGCCAGGAACCTCCAGTATGGTGGCAGTAGCTTCTTGATGGTGGGAGGATAGGTTCCTTCATAACACATCTTTTCCAGAACTTCCTTGACTTGATCAGCAGAGTACTCAATTGGGAATGCAGAAGCATCACCAAATTCAAGTACCTCTCGGATAACTTGTTCAAAAATAATCACTTGTGTTCCTTTCACCATTGATTCCATAGTACCAGCTCCATCAACTCCTAGCTTGTTGATTAAAGAATTTTTCCAGAACTCATTGATCAAGTCTTTGTGGATGACTGGATTAGCACGAAGGGCTTGAGATATCTTGCAGTTGCTCAAACCCACCATCATGGATTTGAATTCTTGATGAGCAGCAGGTGGATCCACGAGATATCCAACAATGTTGTGAGAGTCCACGAATTTTAGTTGCTCTGCCATTTATCTGCACCAAACTAGCCAAGTGAGAATTTAAATATTAATTAAATTGAGTCTAAAATTTGATTTCGGTTAAAGTCAAAATTTTAGTCGATTTCGGTCAAATACAAAGTTTTAGTCGTTTCGGTTAAAGTCAAGATTTCAATCGATTTCGGTCAAAGCTGATCGATTTCGGTCAAAACACTTGTTGACCAGGTGATTTCGGTCAACACTGGTTGATTTCGGCCGAGAACCCAATTTTCGATCAAGCCTTCATCTGATTTCGGTCGGATTCAGGTTGAACCGAAAACCCGAAATCTCATCGGAACCTGTTCCAACTCAGTTCTTCGAAAAACCTTGAGAAATTTACTCAAAAACCTGCAAATCTATGAAACAGAGTACACCAAAAACAACTTTAAACAATATTACCATGATCGAAAACCCAAACAATACTTGATTCACCGAACAATTTTCAACAAAAATAACGATTGAGTAAGTTTTAGCAGAAAAACTCGAAGAGAGAAAATAAAAACGACGATGATGATGATGATGGCTGTTTGGGGTTTTTCCGTGAAAAACCCTAACCAGCCGAAAACGAAGTGTATATATGACCTAAAAATCCCAGGCAACCCACTTAACCGATTTCAACCCATGAAAAGTAACCCAATTGTAATAGAATTTTTTTTTTCGATTTTAACGTTCCAAAACCAAATACGAAAATAAAATTAAAAATAAAAATAAAATTAAACACAATTATTATTATTATTTTTTATTTTTTTATTTTTAATATTTTTTTAATTATTATTATTATTTTTTATTTTTTATTGTTTATTTTTATAATTTCTCCCCCTAAATTTGTGCATAACAATGAAAATATGTACAAATTTAAACAAAAACAAAAATGTAATCCAGAACAAAAACTTTTGGGATCAAACGTTATGGAGCAAATTAATGAGGTTTATCAGCACACACGTTCATGAAAAGCTATGGTCAGTCATTGATATTGTGATCTACTTAAACACAAAGGACATTTTTCAGGACAGATCATGAGTGACAATATATTGCTACTATATTTCTAGATAGACCATTTTGTCTGACGACGACCAGAGATATTGTTGTCCACTTAAATTTAGCCAGTAAAATCTACCAGTCAGCCTTAAGGTATGGGTGCAGTTTATGTCAGTACACCGGAACATGTTCCCCACTTCATGGCATAACCCAGTAATCAAGGAAATTTCTTCGGAATCCTTTACTTTAGGTGAGTAGATAATCATTGTGGAATGCATATGTTGTGTCCCATGGCGGATCTACCGATCAGGCAGAGGGGACAACATATGACTAACATAGAGAATATGATATATGTAAGAGACAATATACTAACTTCAAAGCAGTGAACATCATCTGAAGGCATATGTTGTGTCCCAGGTCGGATCTTCCGATCACACAAAGGGGACAACATATGGCTGACTAAGAGAGAGAAAGAATACATATTCGTGTGCATATGTTGTGTCCCAGGTCAGATCTTCCGATCACGCAGGGGGGGGACAACATGTGGCTGACTAAGAAAGAAAGAATAACGATTTTAAACAGACACAATTTATCAGAACACCTTAGTCACCCCCTGTCAATACAAGAATTAAGGACACAAGTCCATACGCCAATGAAGTGTTGAGCCACAGATCTAGATGATAGTTAGCTTCAATTATGTCATAGGCCTCCTTGTCTATTTTACAGTTAAATCTATCCAAGCGTCATATTGTCAGTCCAAATGAGGTTTTCTAAGTCCAAATGAGCTCACATTGTCTAGTCCATTAGTCTTAGTCATTTGTGCCTACCAACACATTGAACACATATTTTATACAACTCAGCTTTATTGCATTACACGTATTTCGTTTTCCCTTTATCACTAACTCATATCACTTCCCAAAGACTGTCACAAAATTTCCTTTTCTAAAAATAAGACAAAATGGAAGAAATAAAAAATACTAAATAAAAATGAAAAGAAATTTCAGTCTTCGAAACGTATCATCTTAAGAAATCCCACAAGCACGAGCTTGGTTAAAAAAATAGGTTTTTGGACGATTGAAAATCAGCATTATTATCATAGAGAAGAGAAGAGTCATAAAATTCAAACCGTAAGTCAGCAGTTGAAGAAATCCCCATTTGTGATCTTTCCTTTTCCTTTCCCGCAAAGGACACATGCTCTCCATTAAAATTCTGAATGTCATGCATAAGAGAGATGTCCCCTATCATGTGTCAGGAACAGTCACAATCAACATACCGAAGTCTGATGATATTCCTCTATATCTGCTCCGGCACAGATTGCGGGATTAATTGGTTTTGGGAACCCAATCCATTTTTAAACTGGGTTGACCTTTGCCATCTACGCATGATACGCGTTCCCAAGTCATATCATGTTTATCAAACACAGAAAATGAAGAAATGTTAGAATTTTTAGGTGATTTGTGCAACATACGTCACTTGCGGTATTATTTATTATTTTAAAAAGTATTTGTAATCTAATTGTTGGGCTTGGAATGAGTAATGGATTATTGAGTGGAATTAGCAAGTTGGACGATAAGTTGGGCTACCCGAAGATGTATGTTGGGCGTAAGCCTGGTGTATGCTAGGCGTAGTGCAACATTGGATGCGGGGGGCGGAGGTGCGTACGCGCAGCGTACACATGCAGACTCAAAACCCTAATTTTTAGGGTTTAAGCCATATAAATAGAACATTATGACCCAAACCCTAGCCTCCATTCCAGCCTCTCAACCTCAGAAACCCTAGATAGCCTCTCTTTCCTCATCCTTGTGTGTGTTTGGCCTTATGAAGCTTGTTTTGGAGATTTGGAGCTTGGAAGGAGAAAGAAGAAGTTGAAGAAGAAGAACTGGAGTATCTTGAGCTCAAGGATCCAAGATTATCTCAACATTTGGGACACATTGGAGGTATAAAGCTTCCAACTTTCCTCAGGAATGCTTAGATCTATGTTAATAGAGTTTTGGACCTCCTTAGGTCCCAAGAATGGATTTTTATGATTCAACTTCGTTTCTAGGCTTAGGGTTGCCACCCTTAGTGCTAAATGTGTCCCTATGTTAGTAAAGTTTTGATCTTAAGGCTCTTTTGTGACCATGCATGAGTTCTAGCCATTTCCATGGAAGTTAGTTGCTATATTCCAAGTTTGAGTTCATTTGGCGGGTTGCAAGCCACCAAGTAATCGACTTTATGAGTTAAGACATGTTAATGGACTCAGACTTGTAATTTGGAGTTAATGTCTTATGGGATTAAGCAGTTGTGAAGAATATGGCTTAACAGGGTAGTACGCTGGGCGTACAAACCAGTACGCGTAGCTTACAAGCCATGCAAGTTGTACGCTTAGCGTACAGAGGAGTACACTCAGTGTACTCTCAGGATTTGGACTTTACGTCTTTTGGGCCTCGGTTTGGGCCAATCCTTGGACTTATCAGCTATTGGGCCTTAATGGGCCATCAGAAGTCAATTAATGGGCCAATGACATGTTTGGGCTTAAGGGAAGGCCCATTTTAGGAGTTAGGCCCAATTTAGAAAATTGGGCCATTAATGGGCCATTAGTGCGCTTGAAGATATTAGATGGAAATGGGCCTAGGTTATGGTCGAAGTTAGACCAAGGGGTAAAATGGTCATTTTACCGTAAGAAGGATTATGGATTTTGACTAAGTGTTGTTGTGATGATAGTCGGGGAGTCGTTGGAGCAGCCACTAGAGATTCCTCAATGTGAGATTCAAC